TGCTTAAATCTAGCTGCAATGGCAGCTGAGGTAGAATAGAGTGTCAGTGGAATGGCAATGAAAACATTCTTTTCTTTTTTTTTCTTTTTTTTTTTATTTCATAGGTAAGCATTATTACACTTGAAATCGTCACAATATTAAACTCTACCGCTCATTCGTAAGGCAGATTCCCCTGAGAAGAATGAGCAAGAAACTCTAGGGGTTGCTCTTTGTAAATAAAATTTACAGTATTCGTTCTTTTCATCACATGCCTTACTAAAACTACCATGGAAATCAATTATATATGTATAATATTAGTACCTGATTTTTGTAATAATATCAAGTGATGGGACGAACAAGTCGTGCGCCTAATGGTATAATATAAAACAAAATATGCTTGCAGTGTTTTTATTGCAATTCGTGAACAGGAATCTAGGCAGAAGGAAATAAGCGCGCTTATTACAGCAAGGAAAATTTAAAGTTCAAAAGAATAATTGACTGGTTAAATGTACAACGACCTTTACGAAGGACAATCGTAAACACAGGCCTAATCCCAAACACCTAATAAGGAAAACAAAACACAAAATTGTTAGGAGGGAAACAATTTAAATGTAAATTCATTGACAACTTTTGCGAACTCTGAGATTTGTTCATTCGGAACTTGTCATTTATTTACAATATAACTGTCATCAACAGCAATACATACAATACAATATAAACAATGAATGAATTGCCATTAATTATACCTACAAATTCAATGTTGTAGATATAACTCATGACTCAAAATCAAAGTGATCTGTGATCGCATTGTTACCTCTATCGCCGAACCTGCCAAACTTGCACATTTTTCTTTTATTTGGCGTTAATTCGACCTAACACAAAGTACACTTAATTCGAGTTCAGTCCACCTGTCTTTTTCATTGTGAGTAAGAATAATAGAAGATAATGTTTTAGTTTGGAGCGTTAAAATGAGTTAACGCATAGACTATTTTGTTTTAAGATATAAATGTCCACTTGCACTAAACTTAAGTATGTCTTAAACCAATGCTTAAATTGATAAGACACTCATAACACAATGCATTAAGAGTGTCTTTTGCATTGCACTTATTGGTTTAAGACGTACCTAGGTTTAGTGCAAGTGGACATAAGTGTCGGAATGAATAAGTGGTAGGCGACACGCATGTAGCGCCTCTCAAAGCTTTAAATCGCAAAAAATCTGAAGGGCACTGCACTGCGACCCATTATCCTGAGACATAAGCTAACAAGTCCCACGGGCCTGTAATTGCAACAGCACCCTTACCCTTCAAAACCGGAACGCAGTAATACTCAGATTCATGCTTTGCGGCAGAAATAGCTAAGGTGACCTGAACGAACTCTTTTACAAGGAGCGCTGTCGCTATTAACACACTTTGAAATCATAGAGCTTTCCTCTTATATCGTCGCCTTTTGTCGGTCTTTGTTACTTCCTTTCCTTCTCGTATAAGTAACCTATTGAAAACTCTTCGTGGCATTACTAATGCGAATGCCGTAACATGAACGCCTTTCGTCATCACAAAAATTGGAGAAAAATAAACAAGGTACAAAAGAGACGATAATATCTCTTTGTTCACATTGTTGACGAATGCCTTTACAAAAAAGTATTTTTAGTGAAACGAGATAATATGTTCGTGTAATGAGCCGTCGTGTAGCTAAATTCGTTACTATTTATGTTCCTTCCTGTTTCGTGATATATCACTGAATAGTAAAGTATAAAATAGAGTAGGCCATTAAATAACCTAACCTCCGATTAAAAAAACCGACCTCAAAAGTCATTCATCCCCTAGTTTGCCACCCTTAGAGGTGTAATATTTTCTTGAAATTTAAATGGAACTACATCTGCGGTATCTTCTTTCCAACAAAAAAAAGAATCATCAAAATTGGTTCACAAATGGCGGAGTTATCGCATAACATACACAAAAAAACGTACAGACGAATTGAGAACCTCCTCCTTTTTCGGTCGGTTAAAAAGACGGCTTCATTTTTAACCAAACTTTAAAAAATCGAGCTTCGTGATTCATGCGCACGCTTTTTTTTATAATATAAAGTGACCGAACGAACAAGTCGTACGCCTGATAGTAAGCAACACGTCTGTGCCCCTCACGTGCTTTAAATCGCAAAGATCCGAAGGACACTGCCACTGCGCCCGTCACCTTGAAACATAAGTTGACCAAGTCCCATGTGCCTGTCATTTCACCAGCACCCTTACCCTTGAAAACCGGAACACAGTAATGCTGATATTACTGCTTGGCGGCAGAAATAGGTAAGGTGGCAGTACCACCCTGGACGAACTCTTTCACAAGGAGCTCTACAAAACTACAAGTTCTACGTGTTCTGTATATTTTGTTACAACATGAAATAATTGTTAGCCGGCCTGTTTGCTACCTTTTTAATATCCAATTCTTTTATACCGCAGCGGAGTTTGAAACGCTATGTTGATACGACAAATATTATGACGGCCTGTCAAATGGTCACAGCTGACAGAAAATTATTGCAAATGACTCCCTTTATCATATAATCTTGATCTGAAGACAAATTCGTGTATATATTTTTGGCTGTGTGGTATGATTTTTAAAAAAAAATGTTAAATAAGTTCTTTGAGTACCATCATCACTTCAGCCAAAAGACATCCACTACTGAACATAGACCTCCCCCAAAGAATACCACAACGACCTGTCCTGTGCCGCTTGCGTCCAGCGGATTCCCGCAACTTGCTAGCCATACTGGCTTGACGATTTTATTTCATATTTTGCCGTTACAGCGAGAATTTTTTGTGATATAACCCAGTGTATATTTATTAAGTGTACGACACTTAATTTCTTTAAGTGTCATACATTTTTTCATTGACAAATTAAATTTAAAGAAACAACAGTCGTACACGAGTAACAAATCTAATTCATTCGTCAATCGCCAACGCAAATTACAGGATAGGCGATGTCATAACTATAATTTAATTCATCTTTTAGACTTTTTTTACACTTCCATATATACATGATTATTACAAACGATATCTACCCTGCCATTAAAAATTACATAATCAGATACACAATGGTCGTGTGGGAACTTTGTACAAATGTTAAAAGTTACGAAATAAATACTTAATCATCTTGAAAGTAGAGACATTGACCTTTTAAAGCTGTTAGCTTTTAAATTTTCACTTTCATTTTTCGGTAAGAAATGTACTTGTTAATAATGCAACGTAATCTTACGTCAACCACTGTTAGTGACTTGTAATGTGTAGAGAGCAAAAAACAACCTGCCGTTCACGCAAGTGTCGAGAAAACTCCGGTAAATAATTATAGAGTACACCTGGTGGTTAAAGGAAAACAGGAAAATTATATAACAAGTAACAATACGATTAAAAGAACAGTGCCCGACAAAACAAGTTTTTTTTATTATCTGGTGCGAGAAAAATGGTCTTGAGTTGCTGCGGTACTACAGAAAATTGAGACCTAAATTGGGCTAGCACTCAACCTAGATGCAGAGCAGTTAGTAACCTGCAGGCTGCGCGCGTCAACACTTTCTCACACTCAGTGATTCTCGATAGTACGACGCGACGACATACGAGATTCGAGATAGTGCACACAATGCTTACACGAGAGCCCCCAAACTATGCGACCTCCTCAGTTGCAAATATGATACTGCAATGGAGTGACATGCTAGACTTTTTATCCTGTGGTCAGTTCTATTTTCAAAATTCAAACATTTTCTTAACAAATTCAAAAATAGCCAGTTCGTTTAAGTGCTTTATTGTATGTTCACAGTTATATGTTCACAGTGATTAAGTTCAAAAAGTTGTTAGTGCAAGTGGTTAGAGCAATTAATTGCAACTTCCGATTGGCTAGCCCACGTTTGATCAATTCGATCACATATCACGTTCCGCGCAATGACCTCGTTTATCTAGTTTCCGCGTTAGACGCACCGACTATTCACTGTTGCTTTCAAAGGTTTTTTTTTTAATGAGCGTTTAGAATATTGGCATTAAGCAACCACGCGATGTATCGCACGTCATTTAGTCACGAGCGTAAATTTTAATGTTCTTGTATAGCACAATTATGGGAACCTTTCACCTCGGGTCTTTATGGGAATAGACGTGCTTTCGTCTGTTATGTGTTCTTTATTGTTATTGCCTATTTATAGCTCTCAGTGATTCAATAAGGAAGGTATTGGTTTCGTGTCATTTGGCCAATCGATGCATTCGTCTGTTGATGTTACTGGATTGGTTCGAAAATAGGAGATTAGTTAAATTATTAACAGGTTAGTCTTCAAAAATCAAGTTTTACGGTATTTTTTAAAGCTATAAAACCACCTTTATTCAAAATAGTTTTCATTCATGATTTCATCTTTAGCATTTAAATTAACGTAATTAAAATACTTTAAGTTTAAGTTCCCAACGTAAAACTTTTATTCATCGTTCCGTTTTCAAATACATGTAAGACGTTAGTTAGAAGAAATCCCTGTATGGAATGAGCTCGCCTTTGCACACTATTATTTTAAAATGTTTCAATTTGTAATTTACTTTTCTTTATAATATCAAGTTACGGGACGAAACAAGTCGTGCGCCTGATGGTAAGCTACACTCCTGTCCATAACAGTTACAGTGTCACTCAACTCTTTAAATCGCAATCCCATGTATCTGTAATTTCACCAGCACCCTTACCCTTTAAAATCGGAACACAGTAATGCTGATCTTACTGCTTGGCGGCAGGAATAGGTAAGGTGTCTGCACTACCCTGGACGAACTCTTTCACAAGGAGCTCTACAAACAATATAGTGGTACAATAAAGTGCTTACGTAAATACATACATACATAATTTATGCTCACTGTACCTGACGCCATTTTTATTATCTTTTTACTATCCTACACAAAGCTGTCTCTAAATAGGATTTAATTTTATTGCGTTATTTACCTCTCATGGTTAAGATTACACAATATCAAGTTGCCTCTATAGGCTTCTTTGTAAACATAGTCTATGATTGTATACCTCGTAATTGACATCTTTTCTTGTAAGTAGGGTAACTCTTGTAGGTAGAGTTTCCTGTAACTTGACTCTACATTTACTCCTTCAGTCCATTATTCAACGTGTCCTGTTATTCGTATTGCGTTGACAGTGGCTTTAAAAAAAGGTGTTTTTGCGTGCAGATGTCAAACAGGAGGGGCCGGATATTAAATGTGCCATTGTATGTGAGTAGGCACCTCACTCGCTACGTTAAACAACATATCTGTCGTATATGAAATGGAACCTTTTTATGGCCTTTTCGTGTTTCTTTCTAAGAGTGTACTCTTTTCCAATTGTAAACGAACCATCTTGGCCACCTCAAGTTAGAATGGCTCACTTGCAATTTTGGAAAAACTTAAATCAATTTATTTTTATTATGCTCCAGACTTGTAACAGCATAAGTGTTGCATACCACACCACAGTGTTACATAATAACAGTGTCCATAATACAACACTACATAGTTACATACATAAATTATCATAATGCTTTATTGAAAAATTAATTTCATATCTCACGCTTAATGTTGGAAGTTGCTATATCGAGAAGTAGAGCAGTAGAGCTGCTTGTGGAAGAGTTTGTCCAGGGAAGTATTCCCACCTTATCTATTTCTGCCGCCTAGCAGTAATGTGATCATTATGATTGAAGGGTGACGGTGCTGACAAAATTATAGTCTGTCTTTTTTGAGGATGGAGTAAAATCACATTTAGTTCATTGTGCAAAAGTGTTGCACGCTTCAAAGCTGCTAGTGATTGCAGTCGATCAATATTCTATCGATATCGACAGAATGTTGGTTATGCTTATGCAATAAATGCCTAAAACTTGTTCGTTTGAATCATCATCAGCTCGTTATTCGTCCAACTGCTGGGCACAGGTTCAATTGAATTGTCATTTTTTTCAGAATTATGACTTCTATATACAAAGAAGAGACATACTTTAAAGTTTTTCACTTTAATTCAATGTTAATAATCAAATCCACCTATCTGTAATAAATGTGTGAATGTTTATTAAAATGCATATTATGATTTAAAATGAATTTCTGTTCTAGTAGGCCAACTGTAAAAATAAGAATAAAGAAGACAGTACAACACAATTAGAAATCAATAGAACGTCGTCGAAAAATGTCTGAATTGTGAATCGAACATTCACATTTTTGGCAAAAATTTGCCTTCTTTCACGATCTATCGATAAAACTGTCGACAACAACTACATGACTATTTGAAATTTTAAGGAAACTGGCAACCCTGCATATTTCGTTTCAATCCGTCTTCAAATAAGACAAACTATACAGGCACATGGGACTTTTCAACTCTATGTTTCAAGATGACGCAATGGCCGTGCTCTTCAGATCTTTGCTATCTTGGGTAGGCATGTCGCTTACCACCAGGCGCACGACTCGTTCGTCCCGTGGCCTGATATCATAAAAAATTACATTCAGCGTTACAATTAAGGTTATACTTACATATTTTTCTTTTGTAGTTTTCTCAGTTAAAGGTTAGATTAACGGTCAACGATGAAACTACAAATTCAATCTTACCATTGTCTTGTGAAGTCGAAGCTTCTAAGTCTTGATTATCACAGAAAAGTAGCCTGCTTGTTGGTTTTATACCGGATGCATTTGGTAGGTGTGTGCAGGAAATTTACAATTTAGTTTCACCCTCACTGTTCCTACGTCGGTCTACTAGAAAGTCCTTGCTACTGATTCGCTTCCTGTGATGCGCTTTGCTTCATCATTCCTGATGCGTGTTTCCTTAAGGTTATAATTTAGGGCATGTAATAAGGCTAGAGTGATTAGACATTTACTAGACCAACGCGTAACGTCACCGGCCATATCGTCACTTTAACATCAGATGCCAAGCTTTTGTTTACATTTTGAAAATGGAAATGAAACATTTTAGAACAAACATTATAGTGTAGTTATTTAAAAGCTTTCATTACAAGATATTCTTTGGCTGCTCCCTCCTTGGAAGAAATTGCTACTTAGCAATAAGGCCGCTTGTTGTACGTTGGCTTACTCTGTGATACTTACATTACTGTTATGTGTTGTCATTGTAATTTTAATGTGCAATAAAGAATATTTCATTCGTTTTTCGAATCTTAATTTTTTTTTATCTAACGTTTTGGACCCTTTACAGGTCCTACGGTCGAAAAAGAAATGTTATACGCGATTTAGGTCTGAAAAAATAGATTCATTTCCAATATCACTGGCTTGTTTTTTACAGAAAAGGTTTTGCATGAATGTATCCAAACGTTACTATTTCTCTCTACTATGGCACTGAAGCAGTACGATAAATCCTTTTATCGTACTTTACTATTGTTTTATTTGGGTGAATAAGAAAAGATATTACGATTGTACCCGGTAAGTGGGTTTTTGATCTAAATTATTTCTGAGTAAATTAAAACAACAATTAAAACAACCCAACCCAACCCAACAACAAAAACAATTAAAACGCAACCAATATTTAATATATATTTTGTTAACAATCCATGACAACTAACTCAAACGAAAGCCTAACAAACGCAACAAAACAAAGAGATAGAATAGAAGTGTCCGTGATTGGCCAAGCACCGCTTATATTTTAACCAATCAAGGAGCAGTAGAGCGTTTGAGTAGCGTCACATTTAATATTATATTGTTTTGCAAAATGGTTACGTCTTTGTACCTGTTATGTAACATTTTAAGATATTATTTAATAAAATAATTTGAATTTTAATAAATTCACAAATATAGTGACGTTAATATTCTGTTCAGGCCCCGTTTAAGGAGACTGTTTTAATTAGCAAAAATACGACGTTCTTTTTTTGGAACTCACTAAAGTTCTGTGTGTAGAATTATTATGAAATGTTACAGTTCATTAGCGAGTACCATAGACAATAGAATTTTTATTTAGAACTAAAAAGAGCGCCTTTGTGAAATATGGTTTATGAAATTATAATTGACAGATTGAACTACAGCAGTACAATAACTCTTATTAGTATTGGTTGAAGAATGAATAATTTGGTTTTTTTAGTTGTTGTCTGTCCAAATATTACGTAGTTGCTATAATATATACATTATGTATTACGCATTTTTATATTTGCCATTATTTTATACTATAAGCCAAATAGGTAATAATAAATACCTATGTACTAGCACAAAAACAACAACTAATTCCATACAAACGTAGCAGCGCGGCTTGTATGTGCATACGCCCGCCGCGCGTCGTGTACGGATGCACACATTCGCATAATATTGCGGTGCACTCGCGTTGCGTAGCGCGTGAGGCGTGTGTCGTCACGCGTGTCATTAATATTATAAAATTGGAGCGGTAGGAAAATAAACTATTTTTCGGTGACTCAGTCACCCGTGACCATGGGGCCTGTAAAGGGCCCGAAACGTTGGTTTGTTTGAAAAAACAAACATACGTGATTTAGATCCCAACGATAGTTTCAGTTCCTATGTGTAACAATCGCCGAATCCCGATAGTTCGTTGTTTAAAAAATGATAATCCGAATGTGTGTGACCGTAAAGGCACACATTCGCATTATCTCACGGTGATCTTGCGTTGCATTGAGTCGTCAGACGCGCCTTTAAATAATAATAAGAATCTTTATTGCCTCTTTACACAGTGTAAAATTGAAACGTTTCACTAGTTGTTTAAAAAATGGCATCAAATACAAGACGTGTTTTTTGTTGTGGTTATGGTTGTTTGAACAAGAGTGCCTCAAATTCAAAATTGTTCAGCAGTTCATTTTTATTTCATAATCATTATCCCATAATTGTGATACATATCGTAACGTTACTGGTATAATAATATTAATACGTAAGTATTGCATTTAACAAAGGTTATTTCAATATAGCACGAGAAATAAATACTTTCGTTTTTTTGGAATTATGTGTACGACCCGTAGGTACAAGTAAAATAATAATGTGACAACCATACGGTCCAAACGAAGACATTGATGCATCGAACAGACGGGAATTGCACAACTTCTGTGTTATTATACTATGCTTAGTAGCAGTTTGGGTTTGAAGCACCTTGACTTTTCAGCCGCCAAGCAATAATGTAAGCATTACTGTGTTCCGGTTTTGAAAGGTGCTGGTCAAAGTACAGGCACATCGTCGGGGATAGTGCAAATCCACGTATGTAGTATTGGTAAAAAGCGCGTATCCGCACCAAACTAAATTTCACAGGAGAGGAATTTAACGTTGGTACTTTGTTATTTCAATGGGTACGCTATCATTTTTGCACAGTAAGAATTAATTTATGTTGTCTACGGACTGATAACAATAGATTCGCGTAAATCACGCTAACTTGGGTGTCATGACATTTACGCAGATTTCATTTGGCGACTAAATTACCGAGACGAAGTCTCCTAATCAAATAAAATGTTAGTTACGCGTAATTGCACTATCCTCGGCGATATGTAGCTTATCACACACGAGCGCAGTGGTCTTTCCCCTCAGGTCTTAGCGATTTGAAACTCCTGAGTGACACTGCTAGTATTATGGTGACAGTTGTCGCTTATCCGGGGCACAAATTGTTCGTCCCGTCACTAGATATCATAAAACTTCGTACCTTCGATTAGCATAGACTGTCACGCTATTGACACGGGAGTATCCATTAGCTTAACCTTCGGCAGTGGGCGTTTTGGCAATTATGTTAAACGCTTTAATTTGATTGCCTTTTTCGGCTTAATGTATCGTGCCCTAATACAGTCACTGTGTATAAAGTTTTAATTTTTTTATAAGTAGACCTCGAGGAAAAACAAATTGTACCAATCTGAATTGAATATGTATCATAATATGCTATTTCAAAGGTAGTAAATTGGTTTGAAGTTGTTAGCAGCTTCTTTAGGATCTATACAACCTTAAATGGCTTTGGTTATTTCGTATAACAGTGAAAGTATTGAATCAATCACTTTGAAAATATACAGTAATACTGAGGATATACATTGTTTACTGCTCGGTGTGAAAACACGATTCCTGAAAATATTCATAATAGAAAAAAACACAAACTTACCTCGAAATTTTACAATAACACTGATGTATTCAATAGGTACTTTACCAATGATTTTTTTAAATAACAACTGAACTAGATAGGACACGTATATTATACGATATACATTTTTCAAATTTAATTTCGTTGTATAAAAATAAATTCTAAAATAAAGCCATTTTGCGAGAGGCCATTGAAATTAAAAAACATCCTAATTTCAACAGGGAAGATGGTTTCTCCGTACCACCAGTTTGGGATCCAGTATTTCCTCTAATGAAAAATCCCAAACAGACATAAGACTGCAGTACTAATTAATATGTTTTAGTATATTCTAATTTCTATTAATAATTAATAATAAATTAAACTTAATAAAAATTCATTCTATAAAATAATTTGTTAAACTTAATGTAACGTAAATTGAAATGTTTTCTTTGTAAAATTAAAAATAAGTATAAGTATTTAATTAATAACTATTGTAACTATAGTGAACAATTAGGGTGGTTTGCATTAATATTAGACACACTATACCACCTCAGTCAACCGTGACCATGGGATCTGTAAAGGGCCCGAAAAGTCGGTTTGTTTGAAAAAACAAATATACGCGATTTAAATCCGGAAAAATAGTTTCATTTCCTATGTGTAACAATCGCGAAAACCTAAGAACTCGATAAAGCCATTTTTACAACTCTACTATACTATCGACTAATTTTGTTCGAATTTATTTTAGTTCGTTTAAATTTTTTCATTAAAAACAAAAATGTATTTCTCTTCAATTTCATTTCATATTCAAAATTTGCCATTTACGAGGTTTAACAACATTGTGCAACAATATACATATATGTATATTATATTGATGTATGCTTGACTATAGTAAAGAAAAAGGTCAGTGCAAACATTTGGTCTGTATATAAAGAGATTCGTAGAAACGTTACCTTACTTAAAAACAGCCAGATTTAAGGCATCAATGGCGTCACGTTACACTACCTAAAATTTCTCTCTAATTGCTTTGTCGAAACAGATAAATTCAAATTGCATTACTGAATTAAATTAATAATAATGAGGACATTTTAGGCCTTGGGAAAGGCGTGAGTTTAAAATAGATAATAATTATAATAATAAAATAGATAATAATAGAGTGTAAAATAGATAATAATACTTTATTGCAGAAAAAGTTTCCATATTTTGTTAGTAAGACTTAGCAACTATGTTAGTACTTATTTAAATTTCATTACATTAAATCTACATGACATAATATACAATTACTTAATTTAAATTACACCTATGACTTTTTGTAAGTGTTTTCAGGTGTCATTAAGTAAAAAGCGGAAATGTTTGTCGAATTATTCGCCGTTTGCTCTTAATGCAGAAACATATGTTTTTCTCGTGTAAAATTTAAGCGCAGAGGTAGAGGATCTTTATGGACTATTCCCAGAGTTGAACGTAGCAGTTTCAATTTTCAAATGGAACAGAAATATAGAAATATATCCTCGATCGTTTTTTGTTTTTTTTTCTTAACACAACTAGCTTTATAATTAATATTGGCACAACATGAACTTAGGCGGTTTATTTTTCACGTGAACGACATTTTTTCCTGTTTTCAAAGGATGAGAAGTCGTTCATTATATTCTTTCGGTTCAGTGCTGCGGAAAATGTGCGATTTTTCATGTGTTTCCGCATACGCGAGATATTATTTTTATTGCGAGACCCGCTCGGATATACCGTTCATATCTTTTATGTCTTGGATGTCGATCTTTAAAAACGATTCGTTTATGACTGACACAGTACAGACAGATATGTATAATAGGTGTTCAAAATGATTATAAAGAGTGAGTGAATGAGCATAAAGAGTGTTTCTCAGCATGACTCCATTGTTATTTTTTTATTAGACAACGGACTTATACAGTGTGTAATCGTTAAATGTGCACAGGCGACTATTCCACATGTTTATCTTATATTTAAGAGATATCAAAAAGCCTTAACTGATATCAAAAATACGTTACCTAATGAGTAAATCGACGTCAATAACTTTTTAAAAATAAAACGAAAAATATGCAAAATTGTAACATTAAACGCTCCCATTTAGATTAATAAATAAAAGAATCGTTAAATAATGATTAACGATTCTTTTTGACCGATTTTGTTAATTTACAACTGAACCAAACGCATGACTATACAATAAACATGACAACACTATTGTTTTAGACATTAACATCTACTAATTAGCTAACCGAGTGTACGTACAGTTTTCGTACAATCAAAATTTTTTTTTAATAATCGAATGTTTGCTAATAAACACCAATAAATAATCTGTAATTTAAAAGAGTTAAAGACACTGATTGACTAAGTTTATTTTTCTTTTCCATCTGGTCTAACAGGTTATTAATAATAATAATTAGTACACTGTAATAATTCGGTATTATGATTTCATTTTTCCAAACTAGAGTAGAGCTCCTTGTGAAAGAGTTCGTCCAGGGACTCCACTACTCTGCTCTCTACTGCCACCTTACCTATTTCTGCCGCCAAGCAGTAATGTTAGCATTACTGCTTGTTGCTGTGTTCCAGTTTTGAAGTGTAAGGGTGCTGGTGACATTACAGGCACATAGGACTTGTCAACTTTTGTCTCAGGGTGTCGGGCGCAGTGGCAGTGCCCCTCAGCGATTTAAACCCTGCAGTGGCACTGCAACTGTTATAGACAGGCGTGTAGCTTATCATCAGGCGCTCGACTTATTCGTCCCGCCACTTGATATTATAAAAAAAGTACTGCCAAATTTAAAAAAATTTTAAAGAAAACTTATTTTCTCGGAATTGTGTACTCTGTGCTAGTAACTCGTTTAAACCAAATACTTTTTATATTCATATGATTTAAAGGAATTATTTTTACTTTTTAATTTTGTTTTGTACTTATTATTTATTACGTTTTGGTTTATTTTTTCTTTGCTTATGTTTCCTTTCCTCCTAGAGCTGCAGTACGGCGCTCTCCTGGAGGGCTGCGGGGGGGAGCTGCCTTCCCTGAGCGCCTGCGCCCCCCTCCCCGCGAACCTCGATAAAGTGACGCGCCGTCAACAGAAAGATGCGCGTGCGCACCAAGACAAACTAGCACAAGTTAACATACACTTACATGGTATTTTTTTATTATTTTTTTTATTTTCTTTGGTTTATTAAACTTATTTAATTTCTTATTTGTTCCGCGTATATTTTTTTTATCATTAGAGATAAATGTCTCTTAGAAGGTGTGCGCATACTTATATTATCACAATGTGAAACTCTGTCTTAGTGGATAGTAAAATCGAATTAAAATTTGTTCCAGCCCTGTTCGCAGCAGTGGAACATGGCTACCTCGATAAAGCAAGGAATATCCTCGAGTCCACAGACGTTGATGTCAACAGGTAAACAATATTTTACTTTTTAATATAGAATATTCGACATTGAAATCCTAATGGAACCGTGAATTCTGTTGAAAGGTTCAGAAGTTCAGAGATATTGGCCTTCCCGTGATTTCGAATTTCTTTTAAAGAATCTTTAAAGCAAAAGGTAATATTAATGTACCAAATATTTACACGTTGCAATTGTTACAATACACTAAAATTAATGCGTGTTATATAATATGTGATAAAAATTATCTATGAAACTATTACACTTGACCAGTGCTACCTTTGCCACCAGTACTACCGCTACCGGCGTTGCCATACTGTCACTACTACCACGTCCGGTGCTGCCAACATTAAAAAACCTTATAAACAAAACGTCGCGTAATGGTAGCCTAATTGTTTATAGTGTCGTATTATCAGAAGCCGTGACTTTGAATCCGGTCTCGCACATCTGTGGTTTTTGGAATTGATCTGCGAAATTTAATTTCCCATGCGCTTTTCGACGAAGAAAAACATCATGATGAAGCCTGCCGTAGAAGTCGTAGAAGGTTCACAACCTTTGGAAAACGTGCAAAGTCCCCAACCCCAAACCCTCGCCTGAGAGGAGTCCCGTGCTCAACAGTGGGGCATTTCAATGGATTGATGATGACACAAAGCGTAAAATAAGTATAGAAACTACAGAAATCAACCCCGTTAATATCTTTACAACCTTCAAACAGATTAAAAACAGTGAAATTACTATTTCACGAAAAGATTTCCACATTTCCACTGTACACACGATTACAAAAATCGAGGAGGTTCTATAGATGTTATAATATGTGATAAAATTTATCACAACAACCCATTGACCTACCAATAATGCAATAACCACAACCTCTTTCCACCACCAGCGCCACCACAACTACTTTTTGATTTTTGTATCAAGAATAATAACAAACTAGTGGACTATTTTCACAAAATAATATTATGAATATTATGGTAGTAAAGGATATTTATTAAAATAAACATTACCAACTTTTCTTCATTTCTGTTTTCTTTTTTGCACAACAAACACAGGCTTAGTCATAATTTGACCTAATGTTGTAACGACAAGATAAGCGTTTGTCTAAAATACCTATTCACTCCAACCTTGAATAACTCCAAATTGTTTACTGGGTAAAGCCCTTGTTTTTGCGTTGTATGAAAGGTTTTTATTGATGAATACTATACCACTTTTTGTTTTTTTACGTAACACATCAAATATCGTTATTTCGTAGGTAATCAAATTTAATAGCAGAGTTCGCGCAGGAAAATACTGCCACATTACCTTCTGCTGCCTAGGAGTATTGTGAGCATTACTCAAGTCAAGTTATACGAGTATCTCAGGGTGACGAGCGCAGTCAGTGGCAGTCGTGTCGCTTACAACAAGTCCTGCGACCTGGTGGTAAGCGACACAACTGTCTATAGCCATTCCAGTGCCACTTAGAGCTTTAATTCGCAAAGATTTGAGGGTCATTGCCACTGAGCCCATCACCGCGAGACATAAGTTGACAAGTACCATGCGCCTGTAATATCACCAGCACCCTTACCTTTCAAAACGCAGTAAAGCTCACATAACTGCTTGGCGGCAGCAATGGTACTTAGTACTTCTTTGGACGAACTCTTGTACAAGGAGCTTTTCTGTTACCAAAATTAATTATTAACTGTTATATTATATTTTGTTATATATTTTTGATAGTGTTACTGGTAATTCTAAGTAAAAATGTTTCAAAGGGACGTATTATCCCCTCCATGTTCATTATTTGAAGTTTATGTAAATATGGCTCTTCCGATCTCCGATAATAAGTAATGTTAATTGTGGAAATATAAGGCAATGTTTAGAGAATTATTATAGTTTTCCGCGGTCGTAAATTAAATGCCCTCCTTTGATGAGGTTGGGTAAATTACAGCTCTTATTACCTTATAATTACAATCCTAGGTATAAATAATGAAATACAATCATGAACATTAAGGTATATTATACGCCATGTATTCTCGGATGGTACAAATCGAAGTCACTTAGAATTTTTTTTAAGTAATTATTCATAATATGAAATATTCAATGATTAAATTATTAAAATAATTTATCGGTTATTAATTCACTGTGTACACATAATGTACCTTTACACATTCGTCCTTTTATTCATAAATTCCTCTGTACCTATGTAATTACAATTCCTACCCTGGTATAATAAAGCCACATGTGATCATACGTCAAAAGAGCTCTTATCACATGAAAGGCATTAAGGGTCGTATTCCAGAACTCTACTCAATGCTCAAGTCAGGACTTGAGCAGACTTCAGTATGATTTCAAGCACTGGAAATACGACCCTAATGGCAAGGACTTGAGTATTGAGTATTTTTTTAAATTAATTAAGAAATAGATACAGAAAAAATACAAAAATTTGTGCTGCTAACGGTGTAACAAAAACCATTTTTGGTTTGACCGTACATTCACCATCTAGTTTACACTTTAAAGTTAAAAAAAAAATAAGAAAACGATTAAAAAGAATGACAATAACTACATTCTATACTAATAACATTTCCAATACAAAATATTAACAAAGAAAAAGGAGTAGAGTTATGGAATACGAGCCTAAGAGTCGATACTACATCAGCTCGAATCCAATTTCTTCCCGTACAAATACGGTTCATTTTCGGGATATTAAATTGAATGTTATTGAATTAAAGCCATTTGAAAAGTGTATGTCGTATAGAACACGTTTCAGTTGATATAAAAAAATCATTGGTATATGTAAAGTACATATTGAATACAGCGGTTTTCTTGTAAAATATCGAGGTACGTTTGTGTTTTTTTTCTATCACGAAAATATTTAGGAATCGTGTTTTCATTCCATATCAGTGTATATTCTTACTTTTACTGCATATTTTTTCCAAAGTGATTGGTTCAACACTTTCACTGTTATGCGTATCAACCAAAGCCATTTGAGGTTATGTAGACTCTTAAAATAATATAGAAAACATGAAACAAATTACGTGTATATGTGAAATATCATAACTTTTCTATTTAAACATAATAAAGTTGTCGACTAACTTCTTTCGTAGAATCTTTAAACTTCTCTCCTGAAAAGTTGTAATTTTGCAGATGTAGGCCACATCTGCAAAACCCCTTACCCCTTACCTCTTACCCCAGGCGAATTAGTTACATTTACCAATTTGCGTTGACCCGTGTCTGATGCATAAAATTCTTACACACAGCCTCAACGGCGACGGTCTCTCTCCTCTGGATGTGGCAGTGCTGGCCAACAACCGAGCATTGGCCAAGATGCTCATGGAATTCGGTGCTAAAGAAGGCGCGAGCCTTGAATGTAAGTATCTAGAAGTATAAATACCTACTTATAAATCCCCTTTATCACGTTTCGCGGACCCTTATTTACATTTCATATCACAAGTGCCATAAAAGTTGTTTTAACTTCGTGTACCAATGTTACGTAGTGTTTTCTACAACAATATCAATGTTGTTTAAAAAATGTTCGTCTTAGCTAGTATTTTTATGTATTATAATTTATTTTGAATTCAATTTTTTTTAACTACTTTTAACATATACAAACAATACTTTTGAGAACTATTACATATATCAAGCTTCAAACTGTTTTGAGGCCCTTCCATCCGATTGGAAGCTACTATACCACAGACAGCTATAGATACATATGTGCGCAGATCATAAGTTAGAGTTATGCCACACAGACACTGCCGGTGCGTTGCGTCGTCGCATCTCTGTGACTTCGACGCACCGATTGCCACACGAACAATGCAGTGTCGCGACGTAACACCGCATACTCACCGGAATAACCCTCCCCGCTTCGTCTCCTGTTGCATGTTGCATGTAGTTCTAATTTATATGTAGTACAAATGGCACATATTTTTCAAGTGTTAAAAAAATCTCTAAAACATTGTATAAATCAACAATTTTAACGTTTTTTGCATTTTAACTTGAAAATTAGTAGGTAAAGGACAGTCCAACAACACCAGCGTCCTTGCGTCCATCTACTAGACAGTGTGCCTCCTCATTTCAATCTAGTGTGAATAGGATGTAACTTAGACAGAAACATAATTCATGACTTCCATGGTTATTCCCTAAATTACAGTTATTTAATTAATTTCACTTAATTATTGCACTGAACTATAGTAAATAATTAACAAAGAAGTTAATACTTCATTAAAATAAAATTAATTTTCGCCACGGAGCTTATACGCCGATGGCGGCAGCAAGACGATGGATGTCTCTATTGCATACACAAAAGCTTCAAACTTATTCGTTTTCGTCAGGGATATCATGACACCAACCAAATACGCCATTTATCTGTTGTCAAATTGGACAGTTCTATTTGATATGAAAAACGATCTGACAGTTTTATTTTGTACGTATGTTTTATTTTATTTTGTCATTATTATAAAACAAATTTTACTTTTCGATTTGGTCATTTTATTATTGCGGTGCTGCACGAAGAGAGCCTCCACGCACGACGACAGGTCGTTGTCAAATCCTTTGACCACGTTAACAAGCATGAGGAGTGTATGCCATCGATACGAAAGAAAAAGACAATTATTGCGGGTACGACATATCTATGGGTACGACAGAACTTCAATTTGACATTCAATTACAATTGTACACAACAATCATAATAAGTAAACACTATAATAAAAAGATAAATATAGTCGTTACTATTGACTTAAACTAGAATACAAGGTTGTTTTGAAGGACATGATATTACAAAAAAGAATTGTCATGGTGGAAACATATGCTCTTTATTGTACAATACACATCACACACACACGACACATCTTGAATAAAGGTGTATTTTGAAAAATATTGTTCTTTGTCAGTGGTAAATTAAGCTCATCTTCAAGTTAGAATTATTAAACTCTCTCCAAGGTGCCTAGTAACATAAAAAGGATTTCTTCTCTAACTATTTTGTGCGCTTACCTTGTGCCGCCATTTCTCTGTCTCTCAAAAGCTACGGTAATGCCAACTTGTACGACCATGGCTGTAATGAGAAGAAAAGGCCCGAGGGTTTTATTTGGAACATTATAAATTAGTTTACATTTACGTGCAAGTGTGATGAAAAACATTGTATACCCCAGTCTTCGACTTTGGGCTTCTAATAGAGACTCGTTCGTAATTACTTATTTACCGCCTTTAATACACAATGTACTACTAATGCGTCATGCAAAAGTTGCAGATCAAAGAAAGCTATTATAATCTTGCTTAATAAACTAATGTGACGGGTATTCGTTAATTATTTATTTTTTGTTTATTTACGACAATCAACAAGTCATAATTATTCATTTATTCACACATTTAAGTGTATGAAATATACAATATATAACCCAAGATGATGTATACAATGTGTTGATTTGCACTCTCGCCATATTTACAGAGCTCATTGTATATCCGAAACTGAACCCAAATCCCAAAAAAATAAATCGAAAAAAATTTCATAAATTCCTATTTTTTATTTAATTACGGTAAACAAATTTGATCAAAACAATGACGTTAAATGCGCAGAAAGAATCGCATTTTAGATCTATTGTGGTGGACTCCGGGTAACGACGGCTGGGGAGTGTCGTATCGAGTCACGAAATGCCACGTTGCTTTATATGTAAACAAGAGTTAGTAGTATAAAAAAGAACCGCTACCAGGATCACCAGAACCGGTATGGTAATCCATTAAGTACAAGTGCGTGTCTATTCTCATAGCATGATATGAAACGTTTAGTTTACGCGGAGGATACGGGTGTCGAAGTTTCTGCTTTCAAAGTTGTGGAGTCTAAATGTTGAAACGAAACTCACGTGCGAATCTCTGTGGAGATGAGTTGGTAAGTACCAAATCTAAGTTACAAAAAACTTTTTCAGTCCACTTTTCTAATTACTGTAAATAAATAGTAAATTGTAGCAATACTAGCTAGTACATAATCACAATTTAAAAAATAGGTAAATATGCGATCGAGAAAGATTACGTATCGCTCGGTGAAGCAGAATATTGAACAGAATATATTTTTTAATATTTTTAGATGATAGGAATGATAGATGGTCAACCGTGACCATGGGACCTGTAAAGGGCCCGAAACGTCGGTTTGTTTGAAAAAACAAATATACGCGATTTAAATCCGGAAAAATAGTTTCATTCCTATGTGTAACAATCGCAAAAACCTAAGAACTCGATATTTTTAGATGATTTAGCATTATTTCTATTATTAATTTCTTAAATATGGCGAGAATGCAAATCAACACACTGTATAATTTATCACTTTTACCTGCATCTACTCAAATCAAAGCATCTCAATAATCTTATCTGACAATACCTGCATTGTTCTATCACTATTAAAAATCTCGACTTTACAATTTAAATATAATCTGATATCTGCGTCATCGGCTTTCCCATTCATCTCAATTTTTTACAGAACATGTGACAATCCTAAGATTTTGTCCATAAGGAGCGAATTCGTCGTGAATCATCTCGCGTATATACGCACGTACGCGCGAACATGCGGAGACGGTTTCAGTCAGTATTTAACATGGAATTGGACGACAGTCCCGTATCTTTCTACACTAGTTTTGATTATAGTGACTACCAAATCTCCTCTTTGGTGGCGGAGCTGTAAGACACGGTCACTTACCGACGCCGAACGAACGAAGTCTCTTCAGTTCCCAAATTCCTACGCGGCGTGCCGAAGATGTCCGGCTATAGCTAACGACTTAAAGGGTAACTCACGTGCCCCGTGCGTCTCGTCACCCTATCGTCTAGAACGCTACTAAGACGCGCTAGCTGCGTGCGCGACGAACGCCCCGGCCACTTGCTATCGGGGCAAAAGAACGTGTTCATCCCTGCAGCTAACCACAAGCCCCGGCGAGTCCATACCGAAGTCTGGGGCCGCCAGAGACGCCCGTTAAGATGTATCACTGGCGGAGGGCTCGGCCCGGACGCCGGCCGTACCCTGGTCTTACCGAGGAGCCCGTAGTCTCCCCGGAACTCCCTATCTCTCGGGTCAGTACATAGGGACAAAGAGAAGTTAGATGACAGTCCAGTCGTGGCTAGCCAACCGTCGCCGTCGCTGTAGAGACGAAAATAAAGGGAAAGTAGAATGCACTTAGTACATCCAGTTTTTCAGAATGCGCTCATTCTGGACAAGGTCTTTTAGACCACCACGCACAAGCCGAGATACCATTATCGCCTATAATTACGTTTGAACGACTACACGTATCTAGGGAAAGGGAGCGGCAAAACTTTGACACTGAAGTGTTTAAAGATGAACCAGAGATAGCAATCGGGATCTAAAGATTACACTGGAACAACAGTTATAAAATTAGTTATCATGCTGTCTGAAATTCTAATATAAAATTACAAACATACTTTGTGTTATTCCGTCGTAAAAACGGACAAAAGAAGTTCTACTTCTACATTCTACTTCCTTCGTCCGTTTTCGTCTCTTCCAGCGACAGTAAGCTAGCGACAACTCGACTGCTTCGTCCAACTCCATGTTAAATATTGACTGAATCTGTCCAAATGCTCGTTAAACTCTCCTTCTGGCGGTCATTCTCTGACTAGTGTTCATTAATTTATTATTTAAGATTCGATTTTTTTATCGTGCAATATAATTTAATATTCAAGTATTGTATCGTGAAATACTATTATTATCGTGTAATAATAATTACACGATAATATACTTGAATTTTTAAATAATAAAAATTGCCACGGAAATTAGGTAGTAAACTGACCGCTGGATGCAATGTACGCGTGTATATATACGAGTATGCGCGTGATGATTCGGGGCGAATTCGCTCCTTCTAGACAAAGCCCAACTTTGATCAATCTATCGCACGTCGATCAAAATTGTTTTAATGTCAATTGATCGATACACTATCTTCAAAATGATAGTGATGACGCATTAAGAAATTATAAAACTGTACACATCAGGTATTTTAGCATTGCTACGTGTTACACAACACGCTTTTTTGACCGGCAACTTTGCTAGCTCAATGGTTAGCTCTAAATAAGATTTTCTTAAACTTTTTCACAGTACCTATTTACTCATAACATATTGCATACAATTTTTTATATTAATGCATTATGTTGTAGGCTCGCCACGGACCTCTATACCACACGTTAAAAATAAAATAAAAATAAAATACTTTTATTTCAGACAACGAGTTCCACGGTTTTGTCAGTATTTTTTTTAACAATACCAAGTGACGGGATGAACAAGTCATAACAGTTGCAGTGCCAGTCAGAGCTTTAAATCGCAAAGATCTGAGGGGCATTGTCACTGCGCCCGTCAACCTGAGACATAAGTTGACAAGTCCCATG